TGTTCTAGGATAGTCTTACAGAATCCTAAACAAAGTCATTGTACGAGTAGGGCAGGAATGTCACACCCCATACATCAAACTACATTTGAAATTTCCCTGCCCCCTTTCCATAGATTCCTAAAGAGGGGGCCAGGAAGGGCACCTCTTATCTTGCCTGTCTTCTCCTTCCCCACCCCATCCCATCATCACTCATCTTCCCCAGCCAGAGGAAGCAGGGCCAGGGACATATTTTACAGGCATGACATATCCCAAATCCGCTAACCCAAGTTCCTCCGCACACAGGAGGCCGTCTGACAATCTGGAGGAAGAGAATCAGGGAGGGGAGCAGATGGTGGGAAGCCAGTGTGAACAAGCCAGTGTGAACAAGAGGCACATTCCCTGGAGAGCAAGAGAACCTTTGGGTGCTGGGGAGAGGGAGCTCCCTGGGGACAGAGCTATGTCTCCCCCCTCAGACTGAGGGTTCCCTAAGGGAAGGAGCCATAGCCAGTCCCTTAGATCATGGGCTACCTGAAGGCAGTGGTCATTGATCGACCCCCCACAAACAGGGGCCCCCTCTGGCTCTCTTCCCCTCCCCTCTCTCCTGTAAGTTGGCTGTTTGAAAGGTCAGATGTCTTTGAATCACTTTAATTCCCTTTTAATGAGCTGGGGATGACAGCTCAGAGGACCTGGCAAAGGAGAAGAGCTGCAATCCACTCCATTCCGACTCTGCTCATGGTGGATGAGCGGAGGGATTGGAAATCCTGCACCTGATCTAGGTACTTACTGATGAGGTGGGGAGAGGGCTGAGTTGGAGCGATTCTTCAGATTCATAGGCCTGACCCGTGGCTGAGAGTCAGGACCCTGGCTTCTGGTCCTAACTATGTTGCTAACCTGATGTGGGGCCCTGGGCAAGTCCGTAGCCCTCTTCAGACCTGAATTTCCTACTATGTAAAAATGAAGGTGCTGAATTCAGTGGTCTCTAAGATACCTTCTACTTCTAACATTCTGTGTTCTAAGACCCCTCCCAGCTCTGACATTCTGGGTTCTAAGGCCCCTCCCAGCTCTGACATTCTGGGTTCTAAAACCTCCTAGGTCTTATGTTCTATGTTCTAAGGCTCTTTCCAGCTCTGATATTCTATGAGTCCATTATTTCCTTACCTTTACCCTTCCAGCTGTCTATCTATGATTGGCCTTGTATCCCCTTGGGATGCTCCAAGGAGTCTATGAGTCTATGGTTCAGTGATTCCCTAATACATACCATCATTCTGGCTACTTTTCCTCCACCTGCTGCCATAAGATACCCTTCCTCATCCCCATGTGGTCTTAATCTTTCTTCTCTACAAACCTGGCTCATGCCTCACCATAAGCCTCACCTCCAGCAAGTTTTCCTCCTCATAAACACTTAATAAATGCTTGTTGTTGTTAAACCACACAGTGCCTTACTCCTTCCCTCAGCACTATGCTAGCCAGCAAATGCCAAAGCCCCCATCATCCATCTCCCTGTCTCTATGTAATATATCTTTGTCTGCTTGTGTCCTGTGGGGGTCAATTTGTCTGTCTGTCTGTCTCTGTCTCTGTGTGGTGTGTCTCTCTCTATCTCTCTCTGTCTGTCTCTGCCTCTCTGTGTGTGTC